TCCTATAAAAACTGAAGGCGTTGTTGCACAGGGCTTGGGTATGTCTCATTTTGTAGAGCGATGTTTGGTCTATCTTTTGATAAGTTAGGCCCCATGATTCAGCTTTTCACTTAAGAGCTGAAGGTTTTGAACTAAAAGTGTTTGAAAGTAACGGAAAAAAGCTCGGTACATGCCTACTACCTACGTTTAATAAATAAATAAATAAAAAGAATTAAATGTAAAAAAAACCTGTATAATGTCTATCGAATTTATCATCTTCTATAACAGCATCTTGATAATTTCGATTAAACCAAACTCAAATATGAATAAGTAATATTTTATTATCTTTAAAAGGTGCAACAAATAATGATGGTAAATCATAAGCAATAAAAATGCAAAAACTTGATTCAAATCGACGAAATATAGATAATGAATTCGTATTTCCAAACAATATCAATTGGTGTATGACTATATAAATCGATTGGATTTTCTTCACATTGACCTTCTTCTAATAAAAGACCAATTATATATTAAAATAAAATATTAAATTAAAAAAAAAGAAGAATTCTTAATAAAACCTCTATTGAACATTTTCCAGCAGCAATATGTAATGCTGTTCTTTTTGTATAAGGTTCTTTTATTTTCATATGTAATTTTTGTTTATAATTAAGTAAAAGTTTAACTAATTCAATTGAATCTTGTTGAACAGCAATATGAAGAGGATAATAAAATATTCTCATATCTTGTACCACATGTGAATCCATTTCACACATTTTTATTTTATGTTCATATTCATTGGATAATGGACCAAAATAATTATCTGTTGCACTTGGTTTATCTGTTATATTCACATTGAAATTTAAATTAAGAAAATATTCAACAAGGCGAATACATCCAGAAAAACATGATAAACGAAGAGCATTTAAACCCTAAGATCTATTCAAATTAAAATAAAAGAGAAATTATATACTTAATCAAGTTGATTTACCTCAATTTTTCTGTATTTGCTCTATATTCAATGAGTAATTTAACACAAGCTAATTAATCATAAATAATAACATAGAATAGGGAGAACGATAATCAAACATTGTACCAGAATCAGATAGTTCTTCATCCGATTGATAATTGTCTTCACTATTGATTAAGCCATCAGATTCTTCTGAACTATTTGGTAATGGACGATAAACCAATAAGTTATATTGATTAACATCAAATTCTTTCGATGATTCTAATGCTGATTTTAATCCTTCATAATCACTATCAATACATAATTTTATGTAAATCAAATATTTCATCTTTGTCACTTAATTTTTTTATTTGGTTAAAAAATAATTTTCAATAGTGTGTGAGGGTGTGAGTGTGGGGTATGGGTGGGTATGTGTGTTGTTGAACACAGCCACAGCCACACCCACCCACACCCACACCCACACCAACACCCACACACCCACACCCACACCAACACCCTAGTTAAATATGTTTGGTGAGTGATGTTCTTATTTCGAATTGTTTGTTATTTTCACGATCGAATTTCTCGTTAATTATTCAATGATGAAGATATTCAACTAACGTCTTTGTATGCTGTAAATTAATTCGTCAACAATAAAAATCTTCTGTTTGATATATCATATTGTTCTACCATTTTAATTCATACTTTATTTGTTTTTATTCAAATTATTTATGCATTTGATTTACATCAATTCATTGTCGAAATAAATTGCGTGCAAGAGAAATACCCTCATGTCCAGATTCGCACAAACGTCATTTTGTCATTGTCGGCAAAATAAATTTATTCTTATTAGAGATTTTTCTTTTCCCAAAAAGCAATTCTATATTGTGATTGAATCGATTTTTTTATTCTCATCGTATTGATATCGGAGAAGTTTTGTAGAATTATCTTTCTAAAAGTCGGATAAAATATTGATGAAATAGAAAAGAATAAAGATTGATTTACCGAATCATTTCTCTTTGTAGAGACAAATTTGAGTAAAAGAAATATCTGTTTGATTGAAGAATAAAAGATGACAAAGAGATTTCTCATTAATCAATATTCAAGTTTTCCTAATCAATTGATATTTAAATGATCCTTAGAATAAATCTATGTTATCGAACATTACCAATGATTGGTGTCATATTACATTTGAACATACAGATATTTTTTCGAAATCTTTTTGTTTCAATGTTTCTCAATTTCTATAAATAATGATTAAAGATTAATCGAGTTGAATTATTTGAAAGAATTGTCCAAAAAAGTAAAAAAAGCAAATTTAATTTCATTTGAAATTCGGTTTCAAATGTGAGATTCGATTGAAATAAAAACTTTGAAAGACTATTCTTCTAGAAAATGAAAAGAGAAGAATTTTTCAAATAAAAATTCTTTTAGTAAATCTACATTTTGATGAGAATAGAAATGTTTGTTTTATTCAATGGAAGTTTTTAATTCGAATGTGTTCAAAATGAAAAAATTTTTATTCGTATCTTTTCGCTTGAGAAAATTGATTGAAATGTGATGAAAATGAAAGTGTTTTTTGTTCAATGATCATTGGAAAGAATTTTCTTCGAAATGATTTGTTTCTATTTGAGAACTGACAAGATCACTAATTTAATCGACAAATCTCTTTTTGATCGATTTTTGTTATTCATATAAAAGAACAAGATCACTTTTCTTTCGTTCAAATAAAAATTCATTGTTCATCTTCAAAGATCTTTTATTTTTTATTTTTCATTTTTGAAAATCTTTCTTGTTTTTCTTTTCTATCAGATTTTGTTTTGGAAAAATACAAAATCAAATGTTTTTATTCTAATTGATGTTCAGGTACATTCAACTCTTGTTGCAGTTGTTTGAACATCTCGTCCGTGACAAGAATCTTGTTATCATTTAATTCTTTCATTCGCTTTACCATCTCTTTGAAATTGTTTAACAATTGAACTTCATCTTAAAAAACGATAAAACATACATTAAATATGGAACAGATCTATATTCACATTTAGTTTGCTCTTACTTTTTCTTTTTCAGACATATTCTCCCTCGTTTTTTTTATTGAAAATAGACACAAATGGAATTTCTGTGGTTTATGTGCGTATATATATATATGTATGAATTGATAATTAATAAGAGGTCAAACAGACGGACTAATTCAAAGTGAATTAAGAAACATGATTGATCTTTTTGCATAGCAACGCGAATTATATTGGTTAATTCACTTTGAATTAAGTCAGTCTGTTTGGGCCTTAGTCAGGTTAAGGAGAAGAAAAACAAAAAAACATCAATTCATATTTATCGGTTCATCATCGATCACTGCAATAGGTTCAGGTTCAGATCTATTATCCGATAACTTATCCAAGATGGATAACATACTATCCTGATCGATATAATCATCCGCTAAAATCATGGAATTTAATTGATTTGACAAAGAAAAAATAAACTATTTCCACAGAATTTTAGCGTCGTTCAATAAATCGGATACTTGACTATTTTTTACATCAAATCCAAGTTTTCCTAATAACAATGCTAGAAGAAAAAGAATTCTTCAATGGTTATGATTATTACTGTATTTACTTGCTGTTTTATGATCAATTGTTTGACGACCTTGTGCTGCTATTTTTGAAAATTCTTCGATAATGAATTGTTTTTTTTGATTGTTGGTTAAATGCTCCATATTTGATTAGCTTGACAATAAACAAAATCGTTGAATATTTTTTGATAAAATAATATCTAAATAAAAAAAATTTAATATTCTATCGAACATGCGATCACGTAAATAAGGAAAATATATCCTCATTTGTAACATGACGCAATAAAATTTCATTCGAAATTTACAAGAAATAGTTTGGTGTATCTTCACATATATATGTACTGAACTCGAAGTGATTCATTTATTATTCATTTCTTTCCTATAGACATACATATGTCTACGAATACTGAAGAAAACAATATAGCGTCTATAGAGAACGAAAAATTCTTGCTAATAACTGAAAATGAGCTTATGTAAAATATTAGAAAAACGCATTTCTAAATTATTATTATCTCATTAAAATAGAATGACGATTTGGGGAGTATTGCTTACTTGAGATACGACATTTACATGTTATTTCTGAAAAAAAGATTATCAATCATTTTTATTATTCTTAATATTAGGTCGTTACACTAAGCAGATATTATTTATCGTTATGTATTTTACATCTTACTTCATAACAATCAATAGAATAATGAAGCCAGTTGTATCTTATTTTCAGTCGAATGTATATGGTGTTGTTAACATATCAGCATGAAGTGTTAGGAGAATACATCCGGTGGATTTAGTGAAGTAAAATAAATTATCAAGATATCGACAATCATTATTATACGTATGAACATAAAAAACGGGACGAGAGAGATAATCAGTAAATTCTTTAACGATTATAGGAAACGTTGTCTACTGAAGATGGATCTAAGAGAATGTTTAATATTTGAAGAGAAAGACAGAAAACAGTTTACAACTATGAGTCGCCACCGGATCAACAGTATCCGTGTCAATAGTTCTTGTGACTTCTACTGAGCAAGGTCGAACTCAGATAATAGATTCAATTGAAAAAATGATTGTTCAAGTCTTCAAGTCAGTCTACTAATATTCCCTTTTCACATTAGTAGCTCACGGCATTCTCTCTTCTCAATGGTCTCTCCCCTCCGTCTAGTCTCTTCCCATATTTAATCTCGTACAACTGTTCGGAATTATTTGCTTTGTCGACGTATTTAGATAGGAAAATTGATTCGAAATCAAATATCGGAATTCAATTTATACAAAAAAAAAAGAATCGATTTACTAGATCGATTCGCGCAAATTTTCTTTTAAAATGAAAGAGAACAAACAGATCTGATTGAGTTCTTTGAAATCATGAAAAATCGGTGAGGAAAACCAAACAGCTATGATGAACATTCCTCTTTTGCAGCAAGACTTCTGTTTAAAGAGAAATCAGTCGAAATTATCAATAACAGATACTTAATTGATGTAGCGCAAACACTTTTTTGTACACATTGTTGCCATTCAGGAGTTTCCGTTTATTAGGGAATCCATTTCATCGATTTTTTTTAAAACAAACGGATTGAAACAAAATATTTCAGTGTTTAATCAAGGAAAAATTATCGACAAAATATTGTTTTAATCGAAATTTCCTTCATGATACAGTTTTCCATATCTGATTATGTTTTCTCTGTTCATCTAATCAATATGAGGCTCAGAATGCACCTGATACAAAGAATTAAATTCCTTTAGAGCGACTATTTCAATTATGTCTCACAAACTAGGCCAGAATAGGTTTCAATCGAATATTGTCAGCTTTATTTTGTATAAATACATATTTCTTGGTAATTTGCTTGCTTTCTCATTGTACTTACAAAGAGATAGTTGAAATGAACCTTTTGCATTCAATAAGAAAAATTCTGATGAAAAATACCGTGCGAAAATGTATCAGCTTAAGGTCCTGAAACATCGGTTGTGTGACAACCCAAAACTCATAATTCCTTTTGACAAGGTTGACAATGCTTAGAAACATAATAGAACTGAAAAATATTGTATTTTTCCTACTTCAAACACATATACCAAACGTGAATTTTAGATCATATTATTGAATGTCTGAAAGAATTATTCAATAATTGAATTCAATTTTCAGGTTTAATACTACTAATTTCAACAAAACATGAATAAATTATAACATAAAAGTTTTCAGTTTTTTCGACAAAGTGTTAGACGAGTGCTACCTTATGTGTTCTCTTAGAGGGATACGAATATTCCTTTCATTCATTCTAGTTCTTCTCAACATTCCAACCAATGTCCGATGGGCAAAGAATGGGATAACCATTGCTGGAGGCAATGGTTCTGGAAATGCACTTAATCAACTCTGTCACCGTTACGGCCTATGTGCGGATGAAGATCAAACGATAATTATCGTTGACTATCGAAATCTTCGTATTGTAGAATGGAAGTTGGGCGCAACAAGTGGTCAGATTGTAGCTGGTGGAAATGGACTTGGAATTCGAACTGATCAGTTAAATTTCCCAACAGATGTGATTATCGACAAACAGACAGATAGTCTCATCATCTGCGATTACAAGAATCGACGAGTAATGCGATGGTCTCGTCAAAATGGCCAAACAAGTGGAGAAGTCATCATCGAAAACATCTCCCGTGCCGGAATGACCATGGACGATCAGAGATTTCTTTATATCTCTGACATGGAAAAAGATGAAGTGAGACGGTACCGTATGGGAGATATACAAAACATAGTAGTGGTAGACGGAAATGGAAATGGTAATCGTCTTAATCAACTGAATCTTCCAACTTATCTCTTTGTCGATCGAGACCAATCTGTGTACGTCTCGGACACATCGAATCATCGCGTAATGAAATGGATAAAATGTGGAACAGAAGGAATTATTGTAGCTGGTGGTGGAGGTCAAGGAAGTGGTCTGATACAACTGAATTGTCCTCAAGGATTGTTCGTCGATTCGATGCAAACCCTCCATGTAGCAGATTGGGAGAATCCTCGAGTGATGCGCTGGTACAAGGAAATGACACAAGGGGACGTCCTTGTTGGTGGATATGGTCGAGGAGGGTAAGTAAACCAATTGAACGGTCCGAGAGGTTTGTCATTCGATCGATATGGTAATCTCTATGTCGTCGATTACGCGAATGATCGAGTTCAAAGATTTTTAATCGAAGGGATGAATTGATTGTAGACGAGTGCTGATTTATTTTTAGCTTGTGGCTGGTATGAATTAATAAACGTTGCATTCAATGTCTCACACGCGGCTCGAGAGATTCTCTTAACTATTGCTCTCTTTTGAAAACGTTTTGAATATAAATCCATTTAAAAAATGGAGACATTACCATCAAACATGACATTATTTTATTGAACGAAAATGTGTTTTGGTACGTTGTACACTTGTAAATGTTCGAAGAATAGAAACGGAAAAATTGTTAATTTTGCACTTGAGCACCGTAACGGTTTTGCGTTGTAAATAGTTTATTCCTTGATATATTCAGGAAGAGGACCAATACAAAGATAGAAAGGGACGAAGAATGAGACAAAAATAGCTGGCTGATAAACAGTACGTAAACACGGATACTTATAATTATACACGAAAGAGAGAGAGAAAGAAGAACAGAAAGACGAAATTGATGACACAGAGAACGATCACTCATAGTGGCGAATGTATGACCAGTGAATCTGTCACAAGCATTTTTCTTACAGAGGCTGAAAACGAATCAATTTTTGAAAAAAAGAATCTAGCGAACTAATGCCCATTTCAAAAAGCAGGCGGATGGGGATTTTTGAATAACTTTTGAATGGATTGATATAGAGACCTGCGATTTTCACCGTTGGAAAGAGGAGACAAAGATGCTTCGAACTATATATGAAAAGATTTCTCTGACTATTTTCCTAAGAGCTTTATATAGAGCTTCTAGAAAAAACAGCATGCCTCTCATGGTCGCGATATTAATTTATTGATTTTCCGGTGTGTGCTAGAACCGCCAAATAAAGAGCTACAAAACTATGTAAAGACTTTATTCATAACTACTACCAATAAGATAGTCCAGTCATTTGAGTGCAATTTCCTATCCTATTTTTTCAACAAAATAGTTAAAAAAAGGAAGCTTTTGTAGGATTGTGATCAAAAATCGCTTTTTTTTTAACGTAGTACGGAGTGCAGAAAAAACTGACTCCTCGAGATTAAAATGTAACTAAATATTTATTTATAATTACAAAAGATCCAAATTATATACCAACCGTAACAATAGTGAATGTGCAAATATACAATTTTATACAATCTTACAATTCAAAACTTTAAATCAAACAATAGTTGTTATTTTCCACCTATGTGAAACTATTTCTTTACTATATATTTGAAAATCTAATTTTAAGACAGAGTCCATCAGACTACTGACCAAACGTGCACACGAAAAATTTTAATTTTGAAATGAATCATACCATTCGAAAAATTTTTAGCTCTTTCTGAAAACCCTATCAAGAGATATGAAGGGATCTTTGAATCCATCGCAGGTACAACTTTATAAATCTTCGAAAATTTTGATGAATTTTCGAGAATTCTATTTAGCACTTTATGAGAACATATATCCCCATTAAAGATCCTCTTTTTTAGTATTAATGAACGTATCTTAATTACGTCTGTTCAATGCAACATCTTAGAAAAAGATTCTCAAATATAAATTGTGTCTAAAACTCTCCAATACGTTATTTTTTAACTCAAAAATGAGCAAAAATGATTATTTTTTATGACGTTTTTTCAAATTTTTGCTCTGAAAGTATACCAGAGTAATTTCCTCTCAAAAGTCTTTTAGTATCAAGAGAAAGTCCGTTAAAAACTGCACCTTTCTATAAATAACTCAACAAGATAAACTTTGGGGAGGTTATTTAATTTCTGAGTACAAAGAAGATCACTTCCATGCGGAATAGTTCAACATCGGTGGAAAATAGCAACTATTGTTTGGTTTAATTTTTTGAATTGCAAGATCGTGTAGAATTGTTTTGTATATAATGTATAGACTGTACATTCACTACTGTTACTGTTGATATATAATTTAGGTCTTTTGTAGTTATAAATAAATATTTAATTACATATTAATCTTGAGGTGCCGCTTTTTTTTGCACAAGGAAAACTCATTTTTTGTATTTCGACTTGAATTTTTTCATAAAGACAAGACTTACTGAGAATAATTTATTGTAAAAATTTCAAGTCTTTTGATTTGGTTCTATTCTCAAATAAGAACATTGAATCTGCTGATGTATGACTGAAGAGTACGATCATTGCACTCGTGGAAAAAAACAAAAACTGAAAAAATCAAATTTAAAAACAAGAGAAGACGAAGTGTTATATTTTATAGAGCGATGTCCATCGTATATTAAAATCATATTTTCCCAACAGTGGGTGTGGGTGTGGGTGTGGGTGGGTGTGGGTGTGGGTGTGGGTGTGGGTGTGGGTTTGGGTGTGGGTGTGGGTGTGCGGGTGTGGGTGTGCGGGTGTGGGTGTGAGTATGGGTTTGTGGGTGTGGGTGTGTGGGTGTTGTCTTAGTCTTCTTTCACATCCACGCCTATACCCACACCCACACCCCACACCCAAACCCACCCCCCCCCCCCCCCCCCCCCCCCCCCCCCCCCCCCCCCCCCCCCCCCCCCCCCCCCCCCCCCCCCCCCCACACCCCCCCCCCCCCCCCCCCCCCCCCC